AGCGCTACCATTTAGTCTGTGTGGTATATTTACTCCCTTCCTAGGCGTAGACCTTCCGTTGCAAAAAGTTAGGCTCGCTCGAGCACAAATTGCTGTGAAAGTACGCCCTCTATAACTTCTAATCAGACACGATGCCCTCATCGTGCTCTAAATTTACCACCTATTTTGTCCCAAAGGACGCCAGCTATAGGTGTACCACTTATTCTGTCAAAGGAATACCACCTATTCTGTCCAAAGCTCAACTTTATTTTAGTTGGTGGTTACACTAACATCCAATGTTGTAACTATCTACGATACACCCATTACGTTATTTTTGTTATTAATATTCTTAATTACAATTATTTATATATGTAATAATGTCATTAGTGTAAGTAGTAATTACTATATTATCATTTATATTATTTAATAATATTTATGTATTTTATCATCAATAATATCGTATTATTTATTATCACTTGAGTCTCTGTTATCTAAAGTTATATAAAGTTGCCATTATCAGTATTAATAATATGATATATGATAAAGAAAAAGATCAACATTTGTGGACCATAATGGACACAATATTAAGATCAAGTGAACTTAAATACCACAGAAAAATATAAGTAGGTGACAGAAAGGTAAGATTTAAAACGCAACATGATTAACACCTCAACCGCCATCAGGAAAATGATCTCCATGACTAAAGGAACACATGATCTTCATAATAACTGTTATCATAAATTGTTTCTTAAATACATATTGATATAATAATATAATTATGTCTTAATTAAATATTATAGTAAAGATAAAGTTATGAATGTGAAAATCTTCAAATTTTTATTATAGGAAGTGCAACTGAAGTGTATCAAAAGTTAATGGCAGAGACAGTTATCAGACACACAGTGGCAAATTGTGGCGCTGAAATGATAGAAGAAACTCCATCAGATATTCAAAATACAGTAACACCAACTGAAAACGTAAGCCGTAAAACACATTTTTCGTAAAAAGGAAGAAAAGTGAATTTGTGTCGTGGGAGGGCGTATACTTGGCGATTTTGTATAGGCACTATATTCGTTTTGGTTTAAGGGGTAATTTAATAGTTTGCATTTGACATGTTGTGAATCCTCTCTTTGCTTTGCTTCCAAGCCTCGCAGACCTCATTGCATTTTATGTTTTTTAAATTTCAACTGCGTTTGATTGTTTGGTATTCAACTGACTTTTCTTTGATTAAGCGCAGTCAGCGTTTCTTTGATTGACGTTCTTGATTCCAATAATATCCGGTGTTTTGCTTTCTTTGTTTCGTCTTGTATTCGCCTCGTGCGACATAAACTATAATTCGTTATGGAAGGCGGTTTGGTGTAGCAAAGTTAGTTTAGCTTTTAAACGCTGATTTCTGCCGGCTCTGCTTAGGCCTAGGCCCTAATTAAGGATTATGTTAATTTTGCAACGCTTCATAATAATGTTAGTAGTTAATATTACTTCCAGGGATATGTTTTTTCTCTTTCTGAAGGAACAATTGGACATCTGAAATATTACTTAAATTGTATTGCATTTATATCGATGCTGACAAGCACGTCGGAGATTTCCATTATTTCATGGGCTAAGTGTGAATTTCAAGGAATCAAGGAAAATTTATTGCCGACAATACGAGATACAGTTGAAATTTGTGTCCAGGTCCTAATGCAGTACTATGGATTTATAAAATATAAAATGATAACATTAGTTTTAACAATAGAACATAAAAACTCC